CATAACATAAACAGAATCAATGTACTGAAACTATATGTGTTTGGTACTTTAGTATTAAGTATATCATAAACTGAATCAATTAACTGAAATTATTCAAACTTGACAGATAAAATGTGTTCAGTATTATTAAGTACTACTTAAGAATAGCATAAACCAAATCATTCACTACCAGATTAGCTATTTCGAACTTAAGTGAACAGTTTAGAAGTTCCCCAACTATTTAGAACAGTGAGCATTGTAAAAGTTCCCAACTAAGTTGTTTCGAAGTTAAGTACTTAACAGATTACATGTGTTTAGTACTTAAGCATAGCATAAACAGAATCAATGTAATGAAACTATATGTGTTTAGTACTTTAGTACTTAAGTATATCATAAACTGAATCAATTGACTGAAATTATTCAAAATTCAAAGATAAAATGTGTTCATTATTATTAAGTTCTACTTAAGAATAGCATAAACCACATCATTCACTACCAGATTAGCTGTTTTCGACTTAAGAATAACATAAACCAATTCATTCACTACCAGATCAGCTGTTTTCTACTTAAGAATAGCATAAACCAAATTATTAACTACCAACAACAATCAAGGGCGACGACTTACCTCAGCAGACTGTAGTTTAAGCACCACCTGCTTGATGGGACTCCTGAACAGCAAGCTGCAAAAACAAACAGGAAATGATAATCAAACTCAAATAATCTGGAAAGCTAGGGTATTTGCAAAAACTAATCGAACGAACTACTGTAACTAAACTTACCAAGAATGACAAACAGGTAGTGGGATTCCAAATTCTGGAAGGCTAGGGTTTCTGGGTTTAGGGTTCTTACTGCATATGAACAAAATGAACAAGTAAGCCACATATTTATACCCTTATAAGCATTAATCTGTAAAGTGTAAACTAAACTTACCGAGAATGACAAACAGCTACTGGGAATTCGAATTATGGAAGGCTAGGGTTTCTGGGTTTAGGGTTCAAAGAACTACAGATGAACAAAATGAAAAAGTAAGCCTCATATTTATACCCTTATAAGAATTAATCGACTAAGGAAAGAAATAAAGAATGAATCAATTGAAAACTTATCTCGATCTAGGAAGGAAAGCGTCTGGATGCACGATTCGGAGATGATTTCCATCGATTGCGACTTTTTAGGTGACTAGGTGATTGATTAAGGGTTAGATCGAGGGTTATTGGTGCTAGGATCGTGGATTTAGGGCGAAAATCTGTACAAAAATGAGAAGAAATCGACGGATTAAAAGGGATTTGGGGAGAAATGGGCGATTCGTCGAAATAGGGTTGAGAGGAAATCGGGGATGATGGCGGCGTGTTGTGGAGAAAAATGGGGTTTTCAGAGTCGCTAACCCTAAAATTTACCCTTATATATGCCTATCAAGACGACAACGTTTTGTAGCGGGACGGGCATGGGGATCGCTGGATCCGTCCCCAACCCATCACCGCGTCTCGCGGGTCGCGGGCGTGCCCGTCACCGCGATCCAGCCCGTCGATGCGAGTTTTAGCCCATCCTTAGTGGCCGGGCCCCAGCGGATGCCCAAAGCCCGCGGGCCCATTGCCATCCCTAGGTTATGAGTAAACTCATTTTAAATCCAAAATAATATGAAGTGAATTTAAAATTGAAGGGATTAATTGTAACTAATGAAAAGTTGGATGGTTTAAGCAACCAAGTTTTTGTTTTGCAGCAAAATACTAAGTTCAAGAGGGGATTCCAATACAATCCACCATTGGATCGTCCTCAAATTTGGAGGAAATGTTCCTTAATTTTGGGGATCCGATCTGACCGTTGGATCGCCGTTATGATTTTTGGTTCATTGAGAAATGTTGTTAGTAAGACAGGATGCAACCGTATTCTCCTATAGCTGGGTAGTTGGTTCAATGGAAGATTCCAAAGAAACCAACCGTTGGATCTTCCTCAAACTTTATGGAAAAGTTCAAGACTCATTGTGGATTGATTTGAACGTAGAGATTTATGTTTTGATTTGGTTTGTTGGGAGAGAGGGTGTGAAATTGGTTGAAACTTTTTCAACTAGAAACGTACAAAAATGGATCAAAAACGCATTTTTGACTGTTATTTACCTTTTATTGACCGCTTTTCTTACCGGTTTTACACACAATATGTTTTTTAATAGAACTTGAAGCATTTTGGCTAGTCAAAAATGTAAAAACGTTCGTTTTTGCATTTTAAGATGCATTTTACTACATAATAATAAGCTGCAATAATATTGATTCAAGATTTCTTTAACTGCAAGTATTGGACTGGCTAAATACCGAATCCTATAATATGCCATGTCCTATTGTAAAAACCTTCAGTGAACCCATCAGGACCGGGTGCTCGATGAATGTTCATCGCAAACACGCCATTTCACACATCCTCACCAATCACCTTAGCACACAAAATATGATGCTCCTCTCTGCTCAGTTTTTTAACAACAACCTCTCCAATATTGCTCAATCTAGATTAATATTCATGTCAGCAACACCTTATAGTTTTGATAATAACCCATAACCTCTTATACAATCGAATCCATGTCAGTTATTTCACTTACATCCTCTCCTATTAGCTTCCTTATGGCTTTCCTTGGCATTTCTTATTTTCATCGATTGATGATAGAATCTTGTACTTGCATCCACTAAAACCATGTAACTCTAGTATTTTGCTAGAAAAACTCTCTTCATCTCTTTTAAGCCAATGTAGTTTATTCCAAATGTTTTTTTTCAGCCTCAAAGGTTTCTTGCAAAAGCCTTTGTAAAGCTTCCATCTGATATGATTCCAAATGGCCAACTCTACATGGTTTTATTACTTGCCGAAGAAGTTATCAAAGTTGGGAAGAAGAAGGGCAGAGTTTTACCTACTTTGGAGGCAAGGTTCTCTCAATTGGCTTGGTGGAAATTCAAGGTTAGGTGCTTGTTTTAAAGACAAAGTTTCCATCTTTCCAATGGTATGCTTTTTGGATCCAGAAGAAGTCATTAAGGTTGTTTTCCAAGACCTCAAAGTTGCTACCTCAAAACTGGAAAACTGCTAGAAAATGGTTAAGTCTGGAAACGTGTTTGTGAAACCTACTTTGGAGCTCAATTCGAGGAGCATGGAGTTGATTCGAGTCCAGAGGCTTCTACAACATGAAAATATGTATGTTTATCTACCAAGGGAAGGAATTGGATGAAAGATCGGAGTTCTGGAAGGCCTCGAAAGCTGCTTTTGGACTGTTTGCTGGCAGCTTACTTGTGCTTCAAGAAAGGAAGTTAAACCCGAATGTCGAGTCCTTTTTAGAGTATATTTTTACCTTAATTGTTTCCTAGTTCTATTAGGTTTATTTGCCTTTAAGTACCTTTCTACTTTTCGTTGTAAAGCAGAGAAGATTATCGTTGAATGAAAATTGCTCATACGTGAGTGTTTTGAGTTCTTGAGTGTGTCTCGAGAATTTACCTATTGTCTTTAGCTTCGAGTGGATTCCGTAGCTAATTTCAGGACCCTTGTTCAAGCTATTCTGTGGAGGATTCCAGAATCGTTTAGCAAGTTCTCTTATCAATCGAGTAATCACCTTGATTGTGGCGAGAATTCTACATTTCCATCATTATTGTTCGATTGTTTGTGTTAGCTGTGTATTCTGATCAAAAGCACCCCCTGGTGCTTTATCACCATCTGTGTACAAAGAAACTTTAAATGTTGCATTTAAATGTGAGCATTTGCTATTTTATTTAAATATGAATGTATATTGTAATTGGATTGTCTTCAAACACTATGGGTGGTCTGGGTGCATGAGTGCACCTTAAGGGAGTTGATGGGTGGCGTGAGTTTTTGTTCCCATCGGCTCAAATAGAGAAAGAAGAGGAGAGCCACGTCACGTCACGTGTTGGGTTGGGTTATTTTATATGATGGGGTTTAATGATGTGGTGGGTCAAGTTTTGATTTTTTCGGGCAAAAATGGGCTGATTAAGACTTCTATTAGCCACATCAGCAAAAAACTGATCCCATTAACGAAGACTGACAGAAGGTAACGACCAGTAACCAAACTTTGGACCGTTGAACTAATTTGAGTGACCATAAATGGAATACAATATTTTTCGTGGAATAGATGAAATAATTTAGTAATCCGAGTGACTAAATTTGTAAATTACTCTTTATTTATTTTTAGTTTTCTACTTTTTTTTTGACAGGAGAAGAGACTGGACTCTAGACTAGAGCAAGCGCATTTCAAAGACGAGCAGACTAGTAATAAGTAACTAGCATCGGACCCGGCCCGTTGGCCGGGTAATGTATAAACACTCCATCAATTAGATTCAAGAAATTGTAGTTTATAAATGAAGTTTTTTCTTATCAAGAAGCCACGTTCATAATCCAGATGATTAATCTCCATAATACATCATGTTGAAGGGCATGAAAGTAAATATTGCAACTTAAGTCCACGAAACCAATAGTGAAACACACTCTGTGAATGAATATGACAAAACATTGCAACATTATTGAGAAAGGACAATCAAATAATTGCTTATTAAAGTTATGCAGAGACTTGACTTCATCAACAGTACAAATCCATACCATTTTCAACATCAAATGAAGTCAACAGAACAAATCCATACCATTTCCAACATCAAACACCTAATGTTTTTGGATAATAATAAACACAGCAACATGAAAAAATTGCAGCAAAGCTCCTAATACACTTATCAGTCGTAGCATAGAAAGCTATATTCATAGGCCATTAAACATGCAATTGATTTTCCAAGAATCAATTAAAGTTGAAGAAGGAAAAGACCACATGTCATAAGTGAATAAACTACTAAACAACTGAGAAAAGGGTGCAACCAAACAAAATTACTGTATTTCACAATTGAAACTAATGAAAAGAAACAATCCATAAGAGATGAACATAGAAGCAGAGTCTCAAACTAAATGAAAACAGAACACAATATGTCCATAGATTAAAACAGAATACTAAGTAGAATCTGCAAGTTGTGACTTTTGAGGTCACAAAATCTCCAGCAATACTATTCTTCCTCAGGGTCAGCATCATCATCATGCTTCCTTTTCAACCCGCAAGAGGTTGATCCTCCAACACTCACAGGATCAGGTATCTTAGTCACTTGCTGCAACCAAATTAGAGGGAATCAGAAGCCGTAAACCAAAAAAATTAGCTGCTATCCTTTAGATAAACTGCATTATTTGCATAATCAATTACCTGAAGAGGGTCATGATCAACGCTAGCCACATAATACTCAGCTTGAGGATTCGAGAAATTGAACTGAGTGAGGCGAACATGAAGCTTCAGTGTCATGTTAAGAACCTGTTGGATATGCAATGGAATGGGTTCTTTTTGTCACTGATTTGACTGGAATAAGTCATCAGCCATCACTCCAAAAAATCGCACACCTTCATGCTCTAAAATTGCAAAATCTGCTTCTCCAGTATCATCTTGCACTTGGAGCTTCACTCTAAATCTAGGCAAAAGAAATAAAATGTAGCCAACTCCTAAATCAGTTTGTCTCCTCCATATCATCAATTAACATCCTACCTTTGCATATAACACAGAAACCAAGATTCAGATTGTTCACTTACTTGGCCTTAGCAATGGAAGATGTGGTCTTACAGTGTCCACAAAAGTACTCTTCCAGATCCTCTTCCACCTTGCGAGGACATACAGCGCATCCCATGTAACACCAATTAGGGCGTACTTGAATCACTTTCCCTTCAATCGCAAACAATTTGTCCTGAAATTCAGTAAAAATTGATATTAGGAAAATTGGACAGGTTATAAGGCTGGCAGGTAAACAGGAAAAACACTTACAGTGTGTTCCTCCATGGTTTTGAAATCATTCAGCTGAGCAATTGAAATCTTTGGGATCTCAACAGGAGGGACTTCAGCAATCAAAACAGGTACTGTGAGAGTTGTTTCCCTAAAGTACAACCAAAAGTTAGTTTCATAATGAGGTTCAGCCAACAACTTTTTACCACCAGACACAAATTGAAAGAAAGGAAATAACAAAAAAAGGAAGCCAGCAAAACAGAAGTAGTAGTGTCAAACACATAAACAGATGTATTTCAAGCTTTTGTCCCTAGAATGCATCGAAAATGGTCTTAAACTATTATTCTTATTTAAAAACACAATGAAAGTCAATTAAGCATCTGTAAACAGCTCCCACGAACAACCCCCTGCACTCAATAATGCTAATTCAGTTCTTGGCAAGCATCAACTTAACATATTACTCTCAATTGAAGATTGGGGCGTAAATTTAAAACTGATAATGCATATGTATAGAAGTTAAAGCATTTTAGCAGCAACTTAGTTTGGTTTCATACATGTAAGTGTTGTAGTTGTTTATAGCATACATCATTAGAAATGTATAACAGCAGGACATCGTTTAACAGGTCTTGGTCAGATACCCTTGAGTCTTTTTACCAAACTAAAAAGGAAAATGTCTTAACTGTTTGTTCATTTTATAGTTAAAGCAGTACAGAAAGTAGTTGGAATTTTACAGTTAAAGCAATACAGAGAGTAGATGAAAATGAAGAACTGATTCATAATAGAAACCCAGTTGTAACATAAAGCATAATCATTTAAACAAATTTCAGAAAATCAAATTACTTAGAATTTGAACCCCGATTGTCCTTAACATTAAGGAGGAAATTATCAGCAAAACACTTCCACTAAGACTATTTACAGTCTGAATAACCATTGAAAGCCTTGATTTTCTCTTACCCATTAGAAGTAATGATTTTGAGAACCACAAAATGCATTGCTCACAGTGTAGGTGCAACATGAGAAAGAATATGATACAAAATGATGAAAGAGAGTTATCACACATAAAGCTCTAGGAGCAAATTAAGGGAAACCTTTGTGAAACAGATCAAGTCAACCATTTAAAGGAAAAAGCATTATAATTGCATTTATAAGGAAACATTATTTCTTGAACTTAAATCCAACACCAGCAGCATTAACAAAACTGAAATGGTATACAAATAAAACAATCTAACAATGATTCAAAATGGAGGCTGCAAATGTCACTATGTATTAAGGAAGCATTCTTAATATAGGAACAGGAACAGAGCAAATTCGAGTTATTGTTCTAAGGAGTATCAGAATTAACTGAGTACTGACATAAAACCACATACCCAGCATTAAAGGCATGCACTTCTGGAATATCCAGATTGCTGTTTAGCTGTGTAGCTCCTGTTGATGACAAACAAAGATCCCCTTATAGAAGAAACAAAAAATGCAGTTAGTTTCCAATTTAACACTTGCAAACAAAGATAATGAAGCAAGATTGAGTGTCCAGAACCTTTAAATTCGTCCACAAACACAGAAGTGATGCTCAGGATGATAGCTTCCCCTTCATTGCGAGAGAGTATGTCTTCCAATTGATTCCCGATACTTCCCCACAAAGTGACTTTGACCAAATCCCCTCTGGTATAAAGTTTGTCCAGTGTAAAACAAAAGTCAAAAGTCAGGGACATGGTTGACAAACAAATTGAATTGAAAATAAAATTCGAGGCTTAAAGAGTCAAACTCAATCAGTTTTATTGTGATCTCTTTCCAGCGTTTTGTAGCCGAGGTTTTTGAGGTTATTGATGAATGGTCAATCAATTGACCAATCACATCTGCAGCAAGAAGGAAATTTTTAGTTAAAACGTTCCCTGATTTCCCATGAACATAGAAAGACACAAAACCCCACCTGAAAGATTCTTCTTATCATACAACTTCTGCATCATATCAGCTTGTTTTTAGAAAGTAGAACTTGTGGAGTGGTATCTTTGGAACCGATTGAACATGCTGGACTAAGGTGGCTGAATCAAATTCAATCATCAAACGGTCGGGGACTGGCCTGAATGAGTTCTTCGTCAAAGCAACCTTAAAATGCCTAATCTCATACACTTCTTGCTCCTTCAGACTCGATTCAAATTTTGAAATCAAGAGAGGAGGAACCATGGCCCAAATATCCGACCCCTGATAAGTATAAACAGATCGGATTATGATTCAGACCTTCTCAAACCAAAGATTTTGATTCTAAATGGAGATAGAAGGTTACCTCAGAATCGAGCAACACCATGTCCATATGCAGAACCTTTCCTGTGTTGCAGTTAGTTGCAATCCACTTCCGAGCCACCCGACATTGAATAATCCACTTGCGAGAATGGGTGGCTAAATCCTTCAACAGTTGCGGCGCCATTTTTCTCTGTGACTTCTATGATTGTAAGTCGGAAACAATATGCAGTCCTCAAACTCAGAATTTATAGCCTAGCCGGACCGGTAACCGCCAAACCCATGTTCCTCAACACGCAAATACTGGAACCAAGGCAGTTAATCAGATCGTGTTTCCTTGGAAGGCGGAGATAACCGTCAACAAACGCACTTGAATACTCTTAGGCAATGGCGGCAGTTGATGCATAGCCTCCCTTGGAATACTCCGATAAATGTCCCATACTACCCTTGAAAATAAGGCCGCTCAAATCGCCGACAAATCACCTCTTCAATCTCACACAATCGAATTAGAAGAAGAGGTGAGCTTGATGGATAGGCGTTGCGGCGTCTTTGTGCTTCGTCGCCGATAGCTCCTGCAGCCGTTGCCATCCCTATATCGCCTTCCAACTTCGAACCCCTTCTGTCGCCTTCTATGCTCATCGCAGCTCACCATACCTCCGACCTTTTTCCCACGCTCAAGTTGAAATCCAAACAGCCCACTGTCGCCCTCTGTCTTGCGAGGCATTTTGCTACTCTTGCCGTCAGTCTCGCGGGTCAATCTATCTCTCTCCCAAGCCCCACAGAGAAGAAAATCTCTCTGCCTCTCACTCGCTCTCGCAACATCAGCTACCGCTAACCATAACACACACTTCGGGATGCTTAACCGCCGATAAATCTCCCTCTCCCACCCCTTTCTCTCTCTCTCTCTTCAATCTTCCGCCGCAGCGCCACCTCTACAGAATCCCTAAGGCTTGGTCGATCATCTTCAAAGGAGAAAGAGAAGGTTGCAGCAAATAAAATAAAAAATTGACAGAAATCAATTCGGGCTTACACATTTGGATGGGCTCAATTTAGCCCAAATTAAACATAATACTTGACCTGGTAAAAATGGACCATTCTTTCTCTTTTATCAGGGTTGCAACTTGCAAAAGTCGAACAATTCTTGGATCATTGAAGGATCAAGTTCATCCTGTCTAATAATTAATTATTTCAGTTTCATAATTCTCCTGTATCCATCAAAATTAACTAAAATTCAAGCTACTCTCTTTCAATTGGAAAAAATGATGCAAGCTGGTGACGTTCCAGCCATTGGGCCTGAATTTCACTCGGTTCAAAGGAACTCTTCCTTACTCCATACATAACTCTAACATCTAGGGCCCATTTCAAGAAATCAAATTGATTGAGTTTCAATAAAGCCCATTGAGGAAGAGACTTCAATCCAAGCTTAGAACATACTAACAAAACGTGAACAATCTAAACCTCCACTTCTCATTAAAGCAAAGGAAGACAATGACGACAAACTATTACCAATCCGACTCTAAAATTGACTCAAAGCTAAACCTACTATGGGAACTCCAAATGACTAAACTGAAGAACAGTTTCAATGATAAACAACCTATGCTTAAAAAACATCAGAATGCGCAGAAAATCCCTAAAATGCAAAATATTTACAATGAGACTGGCAATTCGTTCCTTGCTACTCTTTTAGCCACTCATGATTTTCAGAACCACTAAGTCAACTGCTCCAGGTCTATAAAACTGTTCCACAGGTTTCACCAGGAACTGGAATGTCTTCCCTTTCAATGACTTCAAGTTGACGTCGAAGCTTGACCTCTGAAACTGATATTCTGTCCCAAAAATAGAATCTGAGATCGACCTAAATGCATTGCTTTTGAAGAGAAAAGCACAGCAATCATTGTCGTCTTTCACCAGCAGTTCAGTGATAAAGGCATTCTGGCGGTCAGACCAAAAAGCATTCACTTCAATTACCTCTGCTGCTATGTTGTAGGTCAGGCCCTGAAATTGACGAATAAATAAAGTGAGGCAGATTATAACGTGCCTTGAAATCTCAAAATCAAACTTCATTCGAGGAAAGGAACTAAGAAAAAACAGGTTTTTTGTAAGACCTTAATTGGACCACCAACGTTCAAAGCTTCCAGTAACCCGACAGAAGCTGGGACAATAAAACTCTGGCAAATTTCTCCATCTTTGCGAGGAATACCACTGCTGCTGCTGCAAAATCATTTGAATATGAAATTCAATTAAATCTTATTAAAACTCATATCAGGTTAAAGAATGACCAATCATAAAAGGATCAGAGTCGTACAAATCAAGCATAGAATGAGCTCTTGGATAGTGAAGATTCCAATACAAATTGGAAGCACAGGAGGTGGAAAAGTAGTACTCACCTGCAATGGAAAGAAAATTTGAAGAACATGTACTATTTGAAAAATGAGAAAGGAGTTTACCTCATTCATCAGTGGAGTGGAAAGTAACTAACCATGGTATTTATGGACATAAACAGAGGTGAATATGACCACTGCTCCAGTTTCAGCTTCAGTAGTGAGAACATTGTCAAGTTGGTCGACCAGTGAGTCCCAAAGAATGACCTTCACAACTTCATCACTGCTGCAACAGAACAGATTCAAAAAATAAATATCTTTCTAGAAGAAACATGCAAGATAGTAGCTATAAAATGAAACCATTCCAAAACTCACTCAATTAAGCGAATTTGGACATCCTTTTTTTTTATTGAAACCATGCTATCAGTTATAACTTCTGTAGCATCGCATTGCACCAGTTCACCAACTAAATCTGCAGCACACAGAAGTAACCTAGTAATGAAATCAAAAGTAGAGAATCAACTTGTAATATGATAAGGTCAAGTAAAAAAAAAATTGGGACCAGATAAGTAGTCCTGGTGCTCGAATGCCTTCTTCAAATCTCCTGTCTTAAGAAACCGAAAACAGAACTTTGGGATGGCAGCAGAATCCTCCATTTCTTCACAAACCGAGTCAGGGAGGAGTACGATTCTAAACTGCGGTGCAGCGACTCGAAATGCAGTTGTGTTCCTTTGCACCAAGAACTGACCCAGCTTGTAGATGGCTCCTTCCCGAATTGATGGTGCAAATTTTGGAATTAGAATCTTATGGATGACCACTTCCATTTCAGAGCCCTGCACGTATAAACCCAAACGCATTAGCACAGGCATCATTAGAGGAAGGAAAACAGATATAGAAATGAGATGCAATACGTACTTGAGCATCAGTAACAATCATGTTCACAAAACCAATCTGATCACTCCCCCTCTGCTTGATATTCCACTTCCGCAGAACACGAACATGGACTGTACAGTCCACATCTTGAACGTCTAAGTCAGCCAACGAACGAACAGCCATGTTAATAAGCCTTGATCTGTTAACGGCCTTTTTGGATTGTTGTTGTGAATAAGATGGTAAATGAGCAAATACTTATTCCTCCGGAATGTATTTATAGGTGGAGATGATAAAACAAATAGCAACAAAAGAAAGCAGGAGGAATAAGAAAATAACTGTCAATCTCCTTCTTCATTTTCGGTAGTAGTGGAGTTGAGGGGGATGATCTTTGGAGTTATATTCAATGACTGAAACCACGTTAAATTAAAATATTATTTCAGCAATAAACCACCTGCCAAATTCAGATAAATCAGAAAAAGCATCCAAATTATAAATCTAAATTTATAAGCAGTCAACTTCTAAATGACTTTCATTGCTTAGGGAAATAAACATGTCTCTAGCTATTTGTAGGGCTTCTCTGTTGTATAAATCCTTACCAAGCCTATGTTTGTTTGACCTCGATCCAGAACTTGATATTTAGCTTAAAGAAGCATTCTTTTCAATTTTTTGTTACATATAAACTTTACACAACATGGGGCTCCACGTAGATATGAACATAACTACAAAAATTTTAATTTCTAACTTAGACATCAAGAAATACAACCTAGGACTTTGCTCCAGCTCACTGAAATTGCTTTTCAAAGATTTCCACCCATTTCTGACTATACCATCATCCGTATTTCAGTTGGTGGTGGACGGCCAGCTTTGCAAATAGTCAGTTCACCGAGATGTGCCAATGGTGACCTCCCATTAGACTCAAGTGAAGCATGTAAACCACAATTAAAAAAGCAAAGTAATTCGGCTCAACTGAACACCAAATCTACAGGTCAAATAGTTTATAAATGGTACAGTAGCACCTCAAGAACATGCCATAGAAAGGGGTGTTGTTAATGAAAAAAAAGGAAAAGATATGTTTTCAAGGACAAAACCAGTGATGTTACTTAGAGCTTTCAGAATAGCTTCCCAAAGTGAGAGAGAGGATCTCGTAGGGAATCTTAAACCCATAAGTCTAGCCAATGTAGCCAGCAAGAAAGAGCATATAGTAGATATGCCCATGGGGACCGAGATTTTGCGTGAAGAAGGAACTATGAAGTCCACAAACCAATCAGATAAACCATCAATTGTGGTCTTTAAATATTGATTTCTAATGAGCATCAATTTTCGAAATCAATGAGCAACCAATATCAAGCTAATATCAAGTGATATCAGTACCATCTAAATAAAAGTGTTCTATACAAAAATAATTGGAAAGCAAATAATGGTCCTAAAATCAGTCAAAAATTTCTCGATACACAATGTTCTGCATACTTTTCAACTCAGTACCATCAGCATCACAGCTCAAAATCTTGATTCCATGCTTCGTTGTAACCCGAGACAATGCAACATATAACTGACCATGGGAGAAAACTTGCTTCTAAAGACACAAACCCACATGTTGTAATGTTTGACCCTGGCTCTTATTTATTGTCATTGCAAAGCACAATGAAATGGGATATTGTCTGCGTTCCAATGTGAAATTCAAACTTTTATAGTGATGGGTCAAAGTCATTCTAGGCAAAAAAACCCTGTCACCAGCATGCGATCCTGAAATAATCTCCAATTCGATGCACCACATCCCCAATGTCTTCACAGTTAGTCTAGTTCCATTACATAATCCACGACTTTGATCCAGGTTTCTTAATAGAATAACCGGACACCCCAACTTAAGTTTCAACTCATGATTAGGAAAGTTCCCAATCTTCAATGAGTTCAAAAATTCAGTCGAGTAATCAGAATCAATCACATTTTGGTTTCCAGGATCCATATCAATAGAATCAGAACTAAAGTATGACAT